AATATATAATATATGGCCAAATGAGTGTCATGGACCCAATGAAAGTGATTATTATCTGTTCTTGTCTACACAATTGAATAATGGTCTATTTCTTCAATCACAAAATTAAGTATAAGATACATCTTAACCACAAAACTTAGGGGCCAAGATTGTAAATAATGATCTTTGAGTTAGCTATTAAATAATACATTTATATATTTTTCCTTCTAGTTTGGTGATGTGTAAATTCTTGAGAATAATCGTTGGATATAAAATTACTATATTAGGCCTTATATAATAGTTTGAGTGAGAGTTAATTTTTGATAGAGTATCAAAACTTTTTTTTTTAGTAACGAGTATCAAAACATTTTATGATTAAGTAATTAGGAGTCAAGAGTGTAATTGTTATTGTCTCCGTTTTTAAATTAAAAATTAAATTTTAATATGGATTAAGGTGAATTTGTTATGATTTTTATAATAATAATATTGTGCCGCAATCAATTGTATTTCTTTTTTCTGTTTTAATAAAAATGAGTTAAGTTCTGATTCATGTAGGGGTGCGGTCTATTGGATTAAGTGATTTTTTTGTTTAGGCTTGTAACACTAATTAGTGTGGGTAGTAATATAGACTTAACACATAGGTCTGTGATGGAAAGGGGACGAGGGCTAATAATTTTGACTAAGACTCATTTGCATTTATAATATGTTGGAAAACAATCACTTCAAATTTGGTCAATCGATAGTTGTGAACAAGAAGTGATGTGAACTGTCGAAGAAGATCATATGATCCTTCAACAGTTCAACTTTGAAGGAATACCGAAGCAGGCAGGACAAAATTTATATATCACAAATCAACTTAAACCTTTTGATGCTATATTAGTTTTTCTTACAAAACTTTCACATCATTTATACTTTAAGCACAAATATTGACTCTTTAAGTGAAGGAAAATATTAAATACAAAATCATTTATAAAACTTCTATATAATAATTTATACTTTTAGAAAAATTAGTTATTGACTCCAATATATATTTTTATTTAAATTGTGACACATGATATATAAAGGTCTTAAATTTTAATTTTAAACTGCACAGTGGTGATTCTAATTAAAAGAATGAAATTTATAGTATTAATTAATAATCTATTGTCAGAACTTTCTTTCTTTCATTTTTTTTAATATGCTATTGTCAAAACTTTCACAAATGTAAATTTTACGTGAAATTATACGTGTACGACTGTCTCTAATGTGAGCAATAAAAGCAAGATTCAGATGTGTAAACAGAACACCATGAACTTTTTTTTTTTTTTTGAAATATTTCAATGGATTCATAATTCGCGACTAATTTGATTCGGAGTGAGTCTCAGGATTAAAATTTTAAACCCCTCTCAAATATGGTACTGAAGAGAATCAAATACATAATTTCACTCCACCTGCTCAATCCTTTGACACCGAGCTACCATTATTTGGTTGTGTGGTCTTCTTTTTTAATATGAACACAGACGCATGAATGTATTCGCTATTCAATTGTAAGAATTCAGATCTTGCAGTTTTAAAAGAAACTGCAGCTACAAATCCAGCCAAAAATTATTAAACTCAGTTTTTACAGATAAATTTTTCGTATAATAAAATAAATTGGATGGATGTTAATTTATGCAATTGATCTAAAAAAAAACCCTAGACGATCGCCATCCCCAATTGTATACAGCGTGCATCATTGTCTTGTCAAAATGTAACAGAAAAAAAAAAAACAGCTCCAAAACATGCACTCAACAGAAAAAGAAGGTGATGAGTGTTGTGTAATTGAAGTAATTTCGTTAAGTTATCATGTCATGTTAGCCGAGGAAATACAATGATTGTGTCAATCAAATATCAGGTTAACGTCATTTGAAACAAAAGACATGATAATGTATGGTTACATGAGAATAAAATATAAATCATTTGAATAACTTGCGGATTATTACACAGACAGTGATAAATTATTATTTAAAACAATATTTAATTATTTAAAAAAAATCAAAAAATCATTTTTTTAATGGGAGGGTTCAAATTTGACCAATTTATAAAAAGAATTTTTGCACACTAGTTTTTTTTAAAAAAAAAATTCTTTAAAATAACATTGTCACATTTTCAAGGAAGAAAAAAAAAATCCTTTATCTTTCAATTATGAAAACTTTTAAGAAAAATTATACTCTTATGTTATATGAGATTCATCTCTCATGTTACACTCACGTAAAAAGATGTGTCTTTTTTTTTCTTCTTTTTTCTTTTTTTAAAAATTGGTGACCTCACTTTATTTATCTCACAACATAATATAACTTTTCTTATATTACATGAGAGAAGTAAAACCCAACTTTTAACGTGTAAACTTTATGAAATCTTATTCAAAACAGTTTACCGGAGAAAGCTATACCTTTAATTTGTTCGGTGGTTTATTAAGGTTCATGCCTTAACAACGACACAGGATAAATCCCAAGATTATGAGAATTTGTAAAATTCTCAGAAATTTCAAGTTGTTGAAATTCGGTGTTAAAACAGAAATCATGATAATTGCTTATAGACAAGTCAAAGGCAGGTGGGGCTAAGAAAAATACGGGTTTGATCTCTTCAATCATTTTTGAGCACTTTACAAATAGGATATATTCTGTTTTACTCCTAAGTTCAAGCTTCGCCGTTCACTTTTAGAAGATATATAAATCTTAATTCGTTTATTTATGGATTTCTTGCTCAGAGTTTGCTTCCTGATAAAAATGTTTTAATATACTTTTGTCTAATATAGTAATTAAAATATTCAAGATTAAAATTCGTAGCAAATAATAATCTTAAGTATGCTATCAAATCATAAATTACAATGAGTTGAGATATATGTTTTATATTTTTTTATAATTTTTTTATATCGCCTATACTAGAGTTTTTATTAGCTAATTAAGGAAGGAAGTAGAAGAAACTGAGAGAAATTACCCAATGGGTGCAGCTCAGTTGGTAACTTGGCGCTGAGTTAGTGGGGTTGGATATGTGTTCGATTCCCGCTGAATGCATTCTTGGGGAGGGGGCTGAACCTTTAGCCATCACTGTTCCCCCGCACTCCGGATTAGTCTCATAGCTGGCTCAAAGAGTCGAAGCTCGTGGGGATACCGGAGGGAGCCAACTCGTCTCAAAGAGATAATTAAGGTTGGGTAACTCCAAAAAAAAAAAAGAAACTGAGAGAAATTCACTTTCTAAAACGTAGCTAAATAAAGGATAAGTTTTTTTATTTTATAAATATATTTTTTGGGCAGGATATACTTACCATAAAAAAGTTTATCGCTCTTACAACCAATTTAATCACCGTTGATTTCCGTCAATCTAACGGTTATAATTTATTGTGAATAATAATTAATTAATAAATGTGATACAATAAATGTTATTAATTTTCAATATATTATAACCGTTAAATTGATGAAAATCAACGGTAATTAAATTGGTTATAAGAGTGGTAAATTTTTTTGGCGATAAGTGGATCTGTTCCCTATATTTTTTACTTTAAAAGATTTCATATTTGAAGGAGGGAAAACAAAAACTCTACTTGGAAAATCGTCTTGTACTCTTGTATACCTTTTTATATACTTACGAGAAGATATAATATTAACAGTAAACAAAGATTAATATCTTAATATCAAGGGTGCCGAAAAAACTTGAAGGAAAAAGAAAAATTGGTGTGCCAATTAATCATAAAAAGATGCATAATTTGTATAAGTGAAACACAGACAGCACGACAACGTTATTCTTTTTTATTAAAGTTTGTTAAAACACGAATCAGCCCAAATGCTTGTTTAGGATTAAACATCCAAGTCCCTTTTTCACTTAAGGGGGGGAAAGTTTGCTTTGGGTCAATTTTGAGATCGACCTGGGTGGATATATACTGGGCCATTAACAATGAGGGCCGATCCGTTTTACTTTTGCTGGCCCAATATATCTGCCCAATCAACTGGGTCCGTCTTGATAGGTTTAATAAATTTGTTTTTTGTTTTATTTAGTTTAAAGGATGACATGCTGAAATGGACTCTATATGGGAAAGGAGTTTTATGGCATACCTGTAAAATCACTTTGAATTTGTGCAAACATGTTTGTTACTTTTAATGCAAAATTGATTTTACATTACTATTCATAAAAACAATATTTTGTTACTCTTGTGGTGAAAAAAATCCACTTAGATGGGTATGGGCAAAAATATCTTCATAATTTCACATTATATCATTACTCTGACAATATTTGCATCTCCATCTTAATAATTACACATCTTAAAGTATAAAGTTAGAACTATATATTTATTTTCACTATGATTTATTTTAAAAAATTGTTACTACAAATTAGACAAACAATTCAGAGTTGAGCTGCTATGTTGACCTGTTTACACTTTACAGCCACAAACCTTTGTAGTTAGTTTTAAAAGCGGGTAAACCTAAAATGGAGAGAGTCCTATTTTGGAGGGTAGCGATTAAGACTTGAGTTGGTACCAGACTGGCAACAGTCTAAATTCTAAAGTTTATAACGGCAAAAAATCTTAAAGTTGGCCTCCACCATGAACATTATGCGACCCAAATTCAATGCAATTCCGAGTATCAAGTGAGTGAAAGATCAAAAAGAGATAATATGAGTAACAAGAATGACTAAATTGACAAAAAAAACACTCCTTTTTAGAATGTAGGTTATAGAAGATAGTAAAAACCAATCAACGGGGTCAATGGTCAAAATTACATGCAAAACTATATTCCCCCAATTAAAAATGAATGGCTGGGCTGTGTTCACGGAATAGAAATCAATGCTAAAAGATAGCAACAGTTTCATTTTTTCAAAACCTCTCTAGCAAAACCCATCATGTCTTATCCCCACTTCATTCCCTTTGGTCTATAATTTTATATAAACTCATTCCCTGCCCCCACTTCATCCCCACCAACCTTCCTAACACTATAAGGAGGAAGAGAGCTGGGTTTGGTTATTTGGGACACAAGAAAGAACATGAGTCTCAAATGCCTAACCTGCAGCCAGGTCCTTCAAAGGACAGACTCATATAGGGAATATTTACCTGAAAATGATTATAGGGAAGTTACCAAAAAGGTTGACAGAAGCTGGTCAGGGAATATAACATCACCCCAATGTGAGCTACCCAAAGTTAAGGGGGTTGTGGCTAAGATTAAGGCTGATCATCGCCGAGTTCATAGTGCAGGAAATATTCAATATCCAGGAAGTTCTGAACCAAGATTGGTGAGGAGCAGTGGAATGAGAAGAGAATGGAGTTTCGAGAATTTGGCTGAAAATAAAGACCATAGTGTTAGTTGCCACTGAAATCATATGAATCAAACATTATTTGTCACACCTTCGTTTCTCGTGTTATATTCAGCCTCTTTCTACATTGTGTATACTTTGTTTGTGAGGGAATGATGAAAAGACTGGGGAAGCGGGGATTAGAGTGGATGTGTGTTATAAATATGGTGTTTCAAGCGCCTGGTACAAGTTATGAGAGCGCTTTTTTTTGCACCATATGTAATTTACATCCCTTGTAATTTATTTTATTTTTTTGTTTTCATTCTGACTCATTCATTGTAAGTCATGACTCAATATATGAAATTCATCTCATTTATAATCAATCTTTCTGGCTAGACATGAAATTTAAGGTGTTTTAAAATAAAAGGAAAAGGAAACCCGAATAGGGGTAGAATGACCGACCATGAAACATTGAGGCTTGAGCACATTGTTGACCATTTAGCTTTCAAGTTCTGACAAGCAAAGAGTAAAACCAGTATTCAATTCTTCTATTATACTTTAGTTGATCTATTTCAATCCTATTCTACCAAGGCCGTTGAAAATTGCAGTTTCAATGGATCTAAGGATAAACAACACATTTTACAAGCATTCTAGTCGTTTACATGAAATGAAAACAAAAGATCCTCCCCCGAAGAAGATTGGTAGCTTGTCTGTGAAACATGCATTGCACTCAAAAAAGAAAATTTAAAAATTCTCCATGCATACATGGTACTTCATATATCTTTTCACAGTGGAGATGGACTTCTAATTTAATTATGTGCCAAAGATCAAGTAATGACCGGATTCAACTTAGCTAAGCGTGTTCTTTAATACCCTGTCTACGTCTGCAATGAAAAGTATGAAAGAATTAAATAGAAAATGAGACAGAAACACAGTTTTCTTCGGTGCTTATAACTTCAAAACCTGCCAAATAATGTAACAGGGATTTTTCCAGCATTCTTTACATTATATAATGTCTATCATACAACAGAAAGTCCAGTGGGAAAAGTACTCTTTTTAAAAGAAGAAATGAAAAATCCACTAGTTTTTCTTTCTTCTAGCTTCTGCTTTCCAATCTCTACGACCCAGCACAATTCTAGGAATTTCATTATTAGAAGGTCCAGATTGAATTTCCCTCTCTAGCATTGTTTCTGCCTTATTCCCAAGGGCTAAGCATGTCACCTCAGGTACACAAGTTAGTGTTGGAGAAGGATCAATAGATCCATTCATTTCTTGATGCTTTGAAACATGAGCCCGTCTTGCATCCTTTTTCCAATCTCGTTTGCAATATATTCGGGTCATGAAATTGTGATTCCCATTTGGTTGTAGTTCTACTTGCACTGCTGCTGTCTCCTCTACAATAAAAGGCTTCTTGGTTTCAGCTTCTAGACGCTTACGAGCCCTATATCTACGTTGTCTCTCTCGATTCTTTAAACGTCTAGTCAATATGTCACTACGCCCTTTAGATCGTGCTCTTTGATCAACGGACTTCATTATAGAATTATCTTGAGTTCCAGAACCAGTTTGCTTGTTTTCCATTCTCAGAATAGGGCTAGCATCTGCAGTAATCAAGTTAGCTAAGGATGAAATCTAGAAATTCATTCCATGTCATAATTCCCGTGATGCAAGCATCTCATATTTTTATTAGAGCAAGTTAGCTTTTTAGTCTATGTTATACATCCTTTTAGGCTTTAGTAGCCTCTCCACTCCGGTATCACAATTAATCAGATTATATATAATAACCAATAAATAAAGTTTTAACAAACAGTGAATGGAGAAAAACTACAAAATAGTGCCTGCCCTTCATTGAGAGGCCACTTTTCTGACAAGGCTCCCTCCTCAACCCCAAGGAAAAATGGATGTGTCAAAATTTGAAATGGATGGGCGTATTATTAAAGCTAAAGAAATGTAGATAACCAATTTGTTTATAGGAAACATGGAATAAAACAAAAACAAAATTATATAGTCAATCATAAAACTAGAAAAATATGCTATAGTAGTCCTGCAAAATGTAAAAAATATCCTGCCAATGATGCAAAATGGTGATTTTCTCCTCTTTTCTTATCTTTCAGTCTTTTTTTATATTATTTTCGCTGAAATCTCATCAATGTGTAGCCGAAGGCACCAAAAGGCGTTGTCAGCGTCTTTCTGGTTCATGCAAGACATGCCTTTAGCATCTTATTGATAACAGTGAAAAATTTATGAAAGCTCAGTCATCTAATCAAATTAGTCAGAATGTTAAAAGAAGCTTAGGACTAGCCATCTAACTTGCTAACTGTTAGGCTTGACTGTTAGCAGCAAGCAACCTATAGTTTTGTAGGATGAATATCATTTTTACTATGAATATTATGCTTGAGTAGTAAATTTATATGGAAAATCAGTGCAAAATGTTCAAATATTACTATTATCCTTTTCTAATGCTCATGCCTTTCTCTAGTATGACATGCGCTTTATGGAACCTCTCCTCTCAAGGTTTTAAAACCTCTAGTGCCTTAAAGGCGCCTTTGCCTTTGCCTACCATATCTCATCATATGCTTAACTTAGGAATGTGGGAATGTGATTTCTTGGCACGGAATCATTTAGGCTCTTGCCAAATAGGTATTTTGAGATCATTGACTTTGTAGGGGAGTGAAATAAATTATCAATGGAAATCGCAGCATGATCATAGGGAGTTACCTAAAGTTTCTTGTATTGAATGTTGTTTAACTTACCATAAATGAGAATTAGAAAAGAAAGAAATGTATGATTTGAAGAATTAAAACTTAATGACAGATGGAATCTCCTGCAAAAAGAAGATGCAACAAATCAAACTTAGTCAGACTCTGACATGTAGTTAATGTCATGAATAGCTTCTTCCGATAAAGTTGTCCTACAGACAATGTATGTGCTAAATGTGCCCTGATGCAATAATTATCCGACTCCAATAATCCTATGATCCCACTCATTAAGTGATATTATTGATTACAAACTTTAGATGCAATTATGGCAAGTCGAATACTTCCAAACAAGGTCATCAAATTGCAATTGAAATCGTGAATTGCCAACCTAGTTTTTGAATGGTGAATTGTATCAAATCTTAACATTCAAAGACACAATGAAATATAGCTTAACAATGTAATAATTTTAAACTAGAAATGGACAAAACAATTCGACCATAATTCTCACAAAACAAAATTTTAAGTCATAAGTCATAACTGAGTCACATAAAACGATTGGGTAAAGCCTATGTTTAAAAAAAAACAAAAAATAGAGTAATAATGTAACCAAATAAGGTGCATATAGAGTGAGCAAGTGACTTGGTGAAACTTTAGTATCAAAAGAATTAAAAAGAGCAGTAGAATAGTCAAATAGGATGCATAGAATGAGTGAGTATCGGTGTGATTCCCCTGTTTCAGAAGAATGAAAACAGGACAATGTAATAATCAAATAGATGAATATAGTAATAGTCCTTTAGTTCCTTTCTCACTTAACAACTTAAGCTTATTTGACTCTTCAATTTATTTAATGAGAATTGATGAAAGAAAGCAAAAAAGAAAAAGAAAATAAAATGAATCATTGAATCTTCGATTCATATTAGTGATACGGAATCAAACCAATTTATGCATAGATCATGATAAGAATCGCTGGCTTGCCGAATCAAATCGAATCATGAGATTCGAATCGAAGATAGCTCATTAGCCATTCATTTTGTCTTATGCATAGGGGCTTTACTAGAATTAAAATGGAAGTAAACGAAAACAAAACCAAATAAATAAGTAAATAAATAAAATGCAGATTAATCCAAGAATTTTTTTCCCCCTTTTGGTTACCCGCAGATAGCAAGAGCTTTATAGCAGCAATCTTTTTATTTTATTTTATTTTAGTTACAAAAAGGAGGTCGTAGAAGATGAGTTAACTATAAAGTACAGGGCTTGAAATACAGCTCCTGGGCCAGTTCTAAAAAAATTTAACAGAATGCATCCCCTACATTTCAGTAAGCAACAAGTAAATTATCACAAAAACTCGGATCATGAAAAATGAAGAATCTGCGGCAAAGGGTATGAAGTGATCCTAGCAGCAGACTATAATGTGGCACCGGAAGAAACAGATAAGTAGTTTGAACTTTGAGAAACTCACAGTCCCCAAATCAGGCAAGAAAAAAATGGCAATTTCAATTCATGACAACACCGTTACAGTCATAGTCATAGGGTTATGCAGCAAAACAGATTACAATTAAACCGTGCAAAATTCGCTACCAAAAGGGTTAAGGTGAGAGGGGTTTCCGTCCTCAAATCAGAGAGGGGGAAAAAAAAAACACAACCATGTGTATGGAAAAAGTGACTCAGCAACAGAAGCTTTGAGGTTTCAACGTTAAATGGTTGTAGCTATATTTATTTAATGAGTAATTGAAAAGTGGAGAACATGCAGAAGAGGAAGGAGTTTGAGTTACCTTGGAGGGTGCAGATCCGCACGTGTCCTTGAGATTGTATCAGACACAGAGAGTAAAAAACGCAGAACAGAGAACATGTAATTGACACACACTGTAATAAAGATGAAAGAGACGATGTTTGAGTTTATGTTGTTTGGATTCGTCAAAACTGAAAATAACTTGGACAAGCTCTGAAGCTGGGTTGGTCTTGTCGATGTGTAACAAAGTAACAAAAAACTCAGTATTAGATGCTTTTGTACGGCCCTCAAAACTCATAGGGGTGGTGGCGCAGTTGGCTAGCGCGTAGGTCTCATAGCTTCTGAGTTATCCTGAGGTCGAGAGTTCGAGCCTCTCTCACCCCATGTTTTTGAGTTGCATCAGTATTGTCAATTACTTTATATTCAAAATAACTAATGAGATGTTGTCTCAATTTCTGAATGTTGGGATTTGGAGAAATTTCAACACCTTTTGCTCCAATTAGTGCTCCATAGAATTGTTGGAACATCCCCATTTTTTTTGCAATGGCCAGGATCGAGTCTCATAGGCTAGCTCTAAGGATGAGAAATTTTTCATTAGTTCTGCTTAGTGTCTTCTTACTGGTGTCCCTTTCGGGAATTCAACAAGGAAGTGGGATTTCATTTGGAGTTGGAAAGGCCCTAAAAGAATAAAAAGTTTTCTAGACACGTGTCAGACTTTGATACCTGTCCTAGATGCCTTCGAGAGTGTGAAAGTTGCCTCCATATGGTCAGGGATTGCTCATAGTCCAAAGAGGTTTGGAAATCTTTTATTCCTCCTTGTAACTGGTCCTATTTCTTCTCTCTTAACTTCTCTTAATGGCTTTTTCATAACTTATCTCCTTCCTCGCTCCTGCATATGGATCAAAACTGGCCCTTTTGTTGGTGTTGTCTGTTGGAAACTTTGGGCAGGTAGAAATGAATTGGTTTTTGATAATACTCATCTTGCTGTTGAGACTCTTGTTAGGAGTGCTCAAAGTCTCAAACTAAATTTTCTTGATGGTCAAAAGCTCCTTTGTAAAGCTGGTCTGCATCCTAAACCCAGGAAACATGCTTTTATTTCCTGACAATTCCCAGAAGTTGGCTGGATTAAAGTAAACACCGATGGTTCTTGTGGCAGTGGTGGTGCTCGAACAGGTTGTGGAGGTGACTTGAGAGATGCTTTTAGCAATTGGATTAGGGATTTTTCTAAAAATCTTGGTATTGGAACGTCTACCATGGCTGAGCTTTGGGGTGTGCTAGTTAGTTTGGAGCTGGCCTGGAATCTTGGATATAAAAAGATTCACTTGGAAGGTGATTTAGAAGCTGCTCATAAATTCATTAAGGAAGGATGTTCCCCCATCATCCCCTCTCTAATCTGGTGTTGCAAAATCGTTCTCTCCTTCATAGGAATTGGGAAGTTAAAATTACTAACACCTAAAGAGAAGGAAATAGTGTGGCTGATTGGTTTGCTATCCAAGCTCATCTCCATAGTTGGGATATTTTAATCTTCAGCAACCCTCCTCCTGATTGCTTGCAGAGGCTGGGCATCTCTTGGCCTAGAAACATAGCTATTAGTAGGGGTGTTCGCGGTCTGGATTGGATCAGTTTTAGAAGCAAAAATCATTTGATCCAATCCCTTCGGTTTGATCATATAATCATCCATTCGGTTTTGATTTTTTTTCAAATCCGATCCGATCCAATCCAATTTTTTTCGATTTGGATTGGATCGGTTTTCGGTTTTTTGAAAATTCTAAAATTTATTTCATGATTATTGTGCAAATAACATCTTTTGTATATATTGGCGTAAATTTGTTTTTTGAAATACTAAAGCATTAGTAAACTATAATATAGTTTTTTTTTTGACAATGAGATATGAAGCTCTACAAAGATAAAATTTTGTTGATGAGATGTGACTAGATTTTTTCTTGGGTTTAGTTGATGGGTTAATGGGTCTTGGGTTTAGAAATTTTTAGGCTATGATTAGGGAAAACCCCAAATAGGTAAAGGGGAATTAATATATTGGATCGGTTTGGATAGGATCGGTTTTCATCAACTCATCCTAAAACCGATCCAATCCAATTAAAATTTGCGGTTTTTAATCAGTTTTCGATTTTTCGGTTTTTGGTTTATTCGGTTATCGATTTTTCGGTTCGGTTACTACGATTTGAATCGGTTTGGATCGGTTGATGAACACCCCTAGCTATTAGTTAGTTTGTTTTTTGTTTTTTTTCTTGTATCTCCAAAAAAAAAAAAAAAAAAAAAACTAATGAGAAAGCCGAGAAAAATTTGTTTCCTTTTATCTACATTTTTTTTCAAGATATGTGTAATTAGAAATATCAATTAATTCATAAGCTGATAAATTAAATACTTTCTAAAGATAATTATTACTTTTAAGGTGAGGACCATAATATGAATAAAAAGCGATTTCGCAAGCATACAGTATACTGCACCATTGTGAAAAGTAGGGTAATGGGGATCTGAATGGAACTAATTTTGAAGCAAATATTATCTGATTCAAATCCTTTGCTTTAATCATTTTTTTCCTTCAAAAAATCCAATCCAATCCAATTCAATTGTCATACAAATCACTAATTATATCAAAAGAAAGACATTCAAAGTCCTCACCAAAAAAAAAAAAGACATTCAAAGTAAATCAATGGAAATTCAAGTCTTCAAACTAAAACAAGTCTTAAACTCATGAAGAGTTAAAATATATTAATATAGACAATAAAAAACTAAAACAAGATAATTTGCTATCAATAACATCCAAGATTCGAAGTCTATAAAACAACAAGATTTCAAGTCATCATTTTTCAAAAATAATAAATACATGATACATTGGACTAGTTTTTACCAACCAAATCGAAAATCGATCCAATCCAATTAAAATATCCATTTATTTTTCTGTTTTTGGTTTTTGATTTTTTGGTTATCAATTTTTTGATTCGGTCATTGCGGTTTGAATCGGTTTGGATTGGTTGATGAACACCCCTAGTTAGAAGGGAATAATGTTTCTCATATTATCAAAGATAATTTGATCTCCTACACACATATAAAAGTATGTGAGACTCATATGAAAAATATGAAAATACAAGTTCCATATATTTTTATATGTGTATATAAGATAAAATTATCTTCTACAATATTAAAAACGCTAATCCCTTCTTAAAATCAACAATTATTATATGGGACAGGATCCGTTTACAAACTTTTTTTGCAATTACACTAATGTAGGACCGGTCGGCGGTCGTACACTGTGTGATTAATGTAGGACCGATCTTACATAGTGTAGTTTGTAAGAGTTTGTAAAAATATAAGCTGTCTCATATTATATTTATAAAACCAAGTTTGCAACAATGGAGTTAGACACTTTTGCTAAGGAGTCAAGATGAAAAATATCATTTTAAGAGTAAATGATTCTAAGAAAAATTATATGGGGTTTTTTCCCTTTCCCAAAAAAATAAAATAAATAAATAAATAAATTAAGAATCCAGCCAATAATGATATATGCAGAACCATCTGCTGTATTGGATCAGTGAAGGGTTCTTTAAACTTTGGTAGAGGAGAAATTTTTTTTTTATTCAAAAATCTCAATTTTTAAAAATATAACTTTTACATTCAGTTTATGATAACATCTAAAAATTTAAAATTTAGAAAAATTTAATTTTTCGAAAATTCTAAAAAATACCGCATACCATACGGACCTAAATTGACTCGTTGACATTGCTACTAGGGGGCAAGGGGTTTTCCTCACAGAGCGATGCCCACCAATTATAATTTTTAATGGCTAGGTTGACTTTAGCTTGTGCCATGAGAAATATTTATTCAAGCCCAGGATTCTAACCTCCCCTTACCAATCCACGTTTGGTAGATAAATTTGTTTTGTATTTTTTAGTATAGTCCAAATTTGTTTTAATACTACGAGAAATATATAGATCAAAGTCTTTAAATTTTATGTATGATAGATAATAACGCTGGATTTTTTTTTCCTTTTCGAAAAGTATATAATTCATTAATGAATTTGATGTTGTTCATATTATAAGAAATAAAATTATGAATTTGTGTTTTCTAAAGTTACTTTAGATAATTTTATCTAATGTTTACCGAAACGACGTCGTTTTGGGACGGAAATCATGGTTTTTTGTAATTTTAATTTATTTCAGGATTATAATAGTTTTTATCATTCTAATTTTTTAATTATTTAACCACAAAACGACGTCATTTTGATAAACATTAGACAAAGTTATCTAAAGTAATATCATATACTTTTTTCCCTAAAATTATTTCATATTTTATATGTACATGTATAAAAGTATATGAAACTTATATAAAAAGAATAATAAAAAATAAATATATAATCCTATATACTTGTGTATATATATATGTAAAAAATTATTTTACTTTTTATAATACAACAAACATTAAATCCTTTATTAATAAAAGGAAAAAGGTATAAACGAGTATATTATATATAAGAAGTGACGGATCTTCTAATCAAACCTCAACATCATCATTAAAGTTAAAACTAACAAGCAACTTGACGAGTGACTGGCATTGTTTTCCGGACAAAATAAATTATATTTAACTTATATTACATAAGATAAATAAGTTTTCTACACACATAAAATAGGTGGATCTTACGTCTATTTTTTCTCTCCTCTTACATATAGATTCATTTATAATTTTATTTCTATAACATGAGATAATTATTATTATTATTATTTTTGGAATTACTCAACCCTAATTATGTCTTTGAGACGAGTTGGCTCCCTCCGGTATCCCTACGAGCTTCGACTCTTTGAGCCGGCTATGGGACTAATCCGGAGTGCGGGGGAACAGTGATAGCTAAAGGTTCAGTCCCCTCTCCAAGAATGCATTCAGCGAGAATTAAACACATATCCAACCCCACTAACTCAGCGCCAAGTTACCAACTGAGCTGCACTCATTGGGTGAGATAATTATTTTTTTACTATATAAGAAAAATATAACCTTTTTTTTCTAGACAAAATACATGAGAAATATAGTGACAAAAATAATAGTTTCGGCGATAAAATATCTTCGAGCAAATCTTTTGCTTTCTAGAGTCTAGACTACGAATGTCCATCAAGAGCGCATGTTCTACTGTGGTCTGTGTTAGTGTGTTTCACAATTATCTTTTAAAGATGACAATTTTCAAATTTCGTCTATATAGTCAAACACATAAATTCTTTCAGTCAACGTTCGGCTATGATTACGAAGCACTGACACTTCAAAAAC